TTGAGGTATGAGAATCAAGATTGGTGGATTGTTTGTAAGATCAAAGCTAGATTTGTGTTTGAGTTGTCCGATTCATCAATCGTCATCCAACAAAATGATGAACCATTTCAGCAGAACGATTCGAAAATCTAACACGAATTGATAGAGGAAGTCGAGGAGATTATTTTACCGATTGATCCAAACATATTGTTTATAGATATAGAAGTAGTTGTGATTGAGAAAGATGATGAGAATGAGCGTGAAAATGCATCGAATGATGGAGATGATAACTTAAACAATGACTACAATAGTTGTAATTAAATATATATTTTATTTATTTTATTAGTAACAAATGATATATTTTTTATTTGTTTATTTATTACATGTAATAAGTAATATCGATTTTAATACATATTTAAAATATTAGTTGTGTATTTTGATTATATTGTATTAAACACATGTTTATCGAGTAATTAGAAAATATCTAATTTTGGGTTTTTTTATTGCTTCATACCGATAATATATTTGTTATATTTTGTTTATTTATTTAAGCTTATATATTTTAGCAATGACTCATGATTCGGGTCAACCCTCCATACCGGCTATAAGATCACGTTTTGGTAGTCATAGATGTGTATCACCTACCGATGATAGCCTACCGGGATCCTCTACGAGCATTGATTAGGGTTATCTAGCTACAAGGCTTTTATAGGGGTCCTACAGCCTCCTGCGACCATAGAGCTAGCACATCGACAATGGCTACGTCCATATAGGATGCCCCTATGGACAAGTCCTCGCATCGACACTAGAGGTTTTTGCACCTGCATTGGAGGTTCCCATACGAGCACTAGAGGTTCCAATGCTAACCTCGGAGAGTGCCTCATCCGTTGACGTATTTGGCATTTTAGGTAATTCCCGCAGTTCCTTTAGTCGGTGATGTATTTATGTCGCTCGAGGATGATATGTAATTAATTAAATTTGATGTAATAATTTTTTTTTATTTTTACATATTAATTCAATAATTATGGTGTGTTTTTTTAATTTTTTTGCTTTTGATGTTCGATAGTTTAACTCTGCCTAGTCAAGATTATACAACAAAAATAACCATAACTTTCTAAGAGCGTTTGGATGTCGATGGATCATTGTGTAAGTCCGTGTTAGATCTCACTAAACAATTCTACTTTAGAGAATTTAGAGTAAAGTATTATTATTTTTTTTATTATTCAATTTAAATTTTTTCATTAAATAAAGTTAATATTAATTATTTTATTCTTGCAAAAATATTTTGATATGGATTCGACGATCGAGTTGGTTGTTAGAGAAGCATGGAAGGCTCTCGCAAGAAAGCACTATGACAACTTTATCTACAAGTGTAGTTTATCGATCGAACGAACCACTTTTATTCGATATGAGGTCTAAGATGCATGGAGATAAGATTTTACGAAACCCGATCCCATGGCTCGTTCACGACAAACAACTCGGAATTGATTGTCGGAGACCAGTGGCCTTAGTGTGGGTCCTTCCGAGCATACAAGGGGCTCCATATCTTCGGAAGAGCATGTCCGTTGCTTGGTAAATTGTACACTTTGCATTTTTAATTAGATGTTTCAAAAAAATTAAATTTTAATCTCATAATATTTGTTATTCATTTTCTTAAGAGGAAAGATTGGGTCGTTAGCCAACCAATTTTGAAATCGTTTTAGTTGATTCACAAATGATGAGATGGTCTTTTTATCGATTTGTACTCTTAGCAAACAATGGTAAGTGTTTCTCAATTTCAAGTTTTACATATTGAAAGATAATCTAAATTTTATTTTAATCTTATAACTATATCATTAATTTGATTATGCGAAATGTGTTAAAGAGCCAATACAAAATGATGTTGTGATGCGGTAGGCGAAAGGCATACCGAAGCTAGAGATTGGTAAGAATGTCATATACCTCGAGGCTATAGAGGAGAAAAAAAAGGTGTAGGCACGTAAGTGGTGCATTATTTATCCCAATCTAGTGGTAGCAGCTCTTTTTCTACGTCGTTACATTACACCGAAGAACATTGCTAATGAGGAGATTCGGAGGTAATGGAGGAGATAAGGGAAACGATGAAAGGGATGTAGGTCGGACAATACAAGCTTCAAAACCTTGTCACGGAGCAGACAGAGTACCATATATAGGCTTAATTCTTAGTATAAGACGATGGCCTCCATGTTGATTAGGCTAGCACGGATGTCCAACGTTCTTTTAGATCCATTCTTCCAGCTAGGACTCCACCATTCTCCCACCTAGCCTCCCCTCGGTACCAAGAGGAGAATATGGGATTAGATAATCGGGATGACACTCGGGATTGACATTTTATTACTTTGTATTTTTTTTACATACGTATTACTCGAATGTTTTTCTATTAATATTAATTTATATTTATTTTATAACATTTAAATTATATTTTATTTCTTTTAATTGTTAATTATGTATTACTAAATATGTCATTAGGGATGGAATAGCGATGGATATGACGATAAATTTTCATGCTTCCGAGTGACGGCTTTGTGATGGATTTGGTCAACCTTTGGTGATGGATTAATGACGAGTTTAGCAATGACCATAATTGGCTTCGGATATCGACGATGGCATGTTGGTCGTTAATCAACGACAAAAGTAGCGACGAATACCGATGCGTTCTACAATGATTTGAGGTGACCAATGTAGCGATAAAAAATTTAATTATAGCAATGGAATAGTTTTCTTCCTCACTAAGTTTAGCGACTAACGTTTTAACGACGACCATTATTTCCATTGTTGCGCCGTCGCTATGCTTATTTAGGGACGAATGTTGGTCGCCTATTTTCTTATAGTGAATATTTACTTAATAATCTACTTTGAAGAGAATGACATATAAAAGAGAGAGAAAGAGAGAGAGAAAATGATATTTGGATCCACTAAAAGTGATAAAATATTTACGTTTATGCTTTTTTTATTCTCTCCGTCTCTTTTATAAAGTAATTATTATTAGTTATTTTTTGAGTATCGTAAATTTGTTCTATTCTTCATGCCAAAAATTTAGAATCTAAGTGAGTTATAAAGAATAAAAGAGTACATATATATATTAAAGTGGATTGTTATTGTTTATGGAAAACACATTGCAAAAAAATTATTTGTCAAAGATTTTGACACATTCTAAAGGAGAATTGTGATGAGGTTGTAAAATCTTAACAAGAAGAGGTGGTTTTTTCCAACTAATACAATAGTGCTTGTTGAATAATGGCAGTGGTGATGGCTAGAATATTTGTAAAATAAGTCTTTCTTTTTGGATAAAGATCCTCCGATAACTAAATTAGTGTATTGTGAAAAATGGAGGTCTAAAAAGATGGTAGTGCAAGTGTGAAAGAAATAATGAATAGTATTACAAAGATAGAAGAGTTATGTATCTCTAACTTTAAGTCTTTATAATTGTTTATATAACCATGAAGCTCGTCAAGTTGCATAGAAAGAAGGATAAAGCTGTCCATCCTTTTGTAACGAATAACTTCGATTTTGATTAAGGGATAAATATTTATGATGTTGATGGATCACTATTAAATAAACATGAAAACGTCATGGTTGTTGTCAATTGGACAAAAGAAACCCTAGGAGTGTGCCTTCATTTAATATGCTATTTGTCATTTTGATTAATGGAGAGTAGGTGCAAACCCTTTAGCCATTGATCGGCGAGCTAAGGTTAATCCTAATTGTTCATTCAAAAGTTGTATAGGTAAACTTTGTTCATTCTAACTTGTTTTAGATAGATGAAGTGTCAAATTAACATAGTTCATAATTTTCACACATAATCATTCTCAAATGGAATGCGAAGCCATGGGCATTTCAAGTATATCAAATGATTCGTTAATTTTCCTTGGAATTGTTGAAGTCAAGTTCAACAATTTATTCTAAAATATTTATATAGGTTAGTATTCTTTGATACTATAACTTAATTGAAAAAAAAATTATCATGAAATTTTTTTTTTTACGACAAGATAAATAGATTAAACATGAAAACATAACACATGTCATGATATGATAAAATACCCAATAGAACACATGCATTCTAGAGATATGGGGAGACATCGGTTTGATATATGTACATTGAGAATTTGAGAATCATTCCATCAAATTACTTCCATTATATATTATTATGAGATCGTTGATTCTCAAATTAAGATTTATAGTAAGATGGCTTTTAGTCCAGACCGATCGTGTGGTAAGTATAACTTGGTGAATGTTGGTTACATGGCGAGTATCCGCAAAACAAGTTATCTTCTTATGTTGGGAGGACGTTTTGATGGCTAAGTTAGCTTTTGAAAATAAGTATATTGCTTGATTAGGATTTTTTTTAAAATTAGCTCTTAGATAGTTAATAATTTATCTGTTTTTAAGTTTAGAAGGCAAAACCTATAATATTTATAATGTTAGCCTTTCTATAAGTGAGGATATGAACAACTTGCATAGAGTAAAAGGTGAAATTGATCTTTTTTTTCGTGTTCGATAGCTTTTGAAATCCATTTAAAGATTTAAAATTCATTTAGACGATGGTCATAATTTAACGATGCAGATGTAGTTATGTTTGTTGATGATGTGATAGAAATATTTCAAAGAATCATGTCTTATTAAATATATATACTTTTTTATACCATGTCATACATGTGTCGATTATCTAGGTTTCGTTCAATTATGATAACTTTTAACAGCCGGTTATGAATTTTTTTTTCAAAAAGAATTCAAATGATTTTAAAACGAAATAAGAAAATACATGTCATTATCGTAATTACATGGATATATCATATTGTGAACTTTTTCATTATCGTAATTACATGGATATATCATATTGTGAACTTTTTTTTCTTTCTTCAGATCAAGTTGTTCTTTCATCCAATAAATCTGTAAGTGGGTGGCTTCCTCTCCAGCTATAAATGAACAAAAATAAAAAAAACAGAAGAAACCTAGTGTAAGCATGGGAGATTGAGGATGTGGGCATAAATGTTGCTGATAAGTCAGGATGTGTGCTGGTCAAATTCTGGTTTGAAATTTAGTGGATTGGCAGGAGAAACCATGTGGTCTATATTGGAAACGTACATTAGTAGTTCCATTGGTCGCTAGCCTTCAAGTTGCATTTAATTTTCAGCAGGTTGGTTTTATGATATGCCATCTACAACAACCTACCATGTTTACTTGTGCGAGCGTCAGTTTGGGAATGGCAAGAAGTGCGCATTTTTTTTTTTTTTTAATATTTATTCATGACTATATATAAAAGTATGAATTCTTTAAACTTTTGATAAATTATTATACTTTTAATACAATATTATTATACTCTTAATACAATACTAATACTATAATTCATCCCAAAACTAATAGGTAGTCTCACCTTACATTTTAAATAGAAAATATATCAATATAGTGAAATTCTTTAATATATCTCATTATTATTACTAATTTCTAAAAAATAGGACTAATCCCATTTTTTAAATATATATAACTATTTAAAAATTATGTAAAACCTTAAATAACACAAAATAAACTTCTTAAATCTCTCAAACAAATATCGTACTTTTGACTGTTAAATATCCATTCAGGTGAATTAATTTCTATTGAAATTGCTTATAATTTAAATAAAAAATTTAAAATAAAAGGATTCATCAAAGTCAATGAGATTCCTTCCCAAACCACCACTTATAATATTCTAATATTAAATTGCCATACCAAGTTTGTAGGTCCTAGTCAAGTTTTAATTCATATCATATACCTCATTTATGAGATTCCTTCCCAAACCACCACTTATAATATTCTAATATTAAATTGCCATACCAAGTTTGTAGGTCCTATTCAAGTTTTAATTCATATCATATACCTCATTTATTCATGGGACATAAATTAAATTTTATTTAATAGAGGAATCATTTAAATAAAAGAGTTTATAAATATAAATACTCACTAAATTAATGTGTAATCAAGATCAAACATTTTTTTAAAATTTATTAGATTATTTATTATCGTTTTTATATCTGTTTTATCAAAATATTATTTCAATATCTAACTAATCCTACAAATAAATTAGAGTAAATTTTTATTCTACCATCGTCAAAATTGGTTTCGTGAGTTTTGAAAACTAAGATAAATAATTTTATTATAAATTTATTCAGATTTTAAAAATAAAATATGTTATATAATAGATATTTAAACTTATTCTATAATTTAATACAATCCATTATATTAGAGGAAAATAATACAAAATAGTTGAATCCTCACATGCTAAAAAAACTAGTTAAACAAAATAGATAAAGAGAGAGCTTACCTTTCTACAAAGCTTTGTAGTTGAATTACAAAAACACGTCAAAACAACCTCCATTACAAAGCTTTGTAGTTGCAACAAAGTTTTATGCAACCGATAACAGGTAGCTATGCATAATTGGATTTTGATATAACTATAATCATATCCAAAATAAAAATCAGTAGTCATTATTTATTGGATAATCATAACCAGATCATGGGATTTCAGAGATATATATACATGCACATACCCATTATCAATTCATTTTATTTTCAAAAAGATCTAATCGAATGAGTAATTTAATAAATTGAAGTAATCATATATGGAATATAATATTATTAATATTAACATATCAGCATTATCAACATCAATATCTAAATAGTTATATTATCTGAACTATATCCATATCCAACATAAAATGTTTTTTCATCTGCATAGTTTTATGTTCGATTTGGATATAGTTCCGATACTATTAAATATATCCGGACCATGCTCAAATTCAATTTTTCATTATTATTCCTATCCAGAACAAAATCATTTTTTTTTAAAAAAAAAACTTTTTAATTCAAACTGACTCGTACAATTGCTTATTTGATTCGATTGCAACTACCATCTCTAGTGAACTCATGATACAACCAAGAGAACATATAAAGATATGCTGAAAGCAACCTTTTACAATATGCAGGTATAGGTATTATTATAAAAGAAACTAAAACATGTGGTGGTGTTTTCATTGTTTGGAAGCTGCGCATTCTCACTCATTTGAACTGTGGACTATGATTGTGGTACACTGTTTTCCTTCCTTTTCCTCATTTCTTGCAATCCTTCCTTGCCTCTTTGTTCGTCGTTCATTTCCACCCATTCTTTCATTGCTTTCATTTTGAGTTTGTTTTCTATTGATTATTTGTGCCCTTCAGTTATTTATTTAATTATTTGAATGCCTTCCTGTCCTCCTATCAAGTTACCTTTCCGCCTTGTTCTACTTGGTCTTTCTTGCCTTGTTTTTTTTAGCCTTTCCATCAATTTCCTTTTCTTTTTTTCCCAAAGAGCATTTAATGCTGTATCTTAAAGTTTGCTTCTTTTATTTATTTTTATATTGGGACTGAGATGTTTTGTGGGCCATTTCATAATTACCTAGTCAGTCTACAAAAGTGTTTGTCTTTGGGGAGTTATGATTGATAGTCTTCTTAGCAGTTCCTTGATATAGAAAAGAGGTATTTATTATTACCATCACCCTTGCTGTCCTTTTATTAATGAATACGAATGCAAGCTTCTTTTGATTCTTACACATGTATTAAAAAATGTGTATGGAAATAGTTTTTCTAGAACGTGTGCTATGTAATTGCATTCCAGAGCTTCAAACTCTCCCTCCGATAAAAAAACATAGTTGATTAGTTGTGTACATAATAGATTCTTAATAAATCAAGATTCAAAACCCTATTTTATTGTTGTATCTTTCAATTAAAAAAAAAAAACATAGATATCACATTTTTGCAATAATAAAAGACAAATAGAAGTCATTAGCAACAGAATTTTTGGAGTATTGAATAAATTGTTATATTTCTAATATATATATTTTAAAAAAATCTTTTTGAATCATCCCTCATTTCAAAGAACCCTAAAACATGTGGGTTTTTACTATTCACACACTAATAAAATACTATTCATCAGATGATATTTTTATAAATTAAATTAGTGACATTTTTGTTATTTTAAATGTTTTTAAGGCATTTAATACATCCACAATACTGTTCACCCTTCCTTTTATTGTACCTTGAGTGGTGTTTTTTTTGTAATTTCGAAGTTTTATTAGGTATTTTATATGTATTTTTTTGCTCATGTTATTTTTTTGTCTCTTATTTTTTTCAACAACTTTTATTTCTATCCATAATTTTATTTGTATTATAATCTAGTCTTTAGCGGCTGAAAAGAGAGAAATAAAGAAAAAGGAGCGAGAAGAAAGATATCTATATATGAATTTTTTAATGAATTTTTAGAATATTGTTATTTGTTCTTATTTTTTTCATATAATTTATGTGATGAATTCTTTTAATTTTTAAATGACGGTAGCATGGTTATATATATCTGTTTGTGTGTGCGTGTGTGAATTTTTTTAATATGATTATTAGTATATAATGAATTCTTTGAATTTTTAACTTTTAAACGATGGTATCATGATTATATTTATATTCAAAGTATTATTTTAAATAATTTGTCTCAATTTTTTTAGGAAAAATATTAAAAGAAATTTTTTGAGTTAAAAATTCATGGATTTTCAAATTTTTTAATAAATTTTTAGTTAAGAATCCAGATATAGAGGAATAAATGTTCTTTTTAACGGAAAATTTATGAAAAACATAATGAATAATTAGTTAAACACAAAATTAAAAAAATTATTTTTTTTTAATTTTTTATTTGATATATTTTGATAGATTCATAGTATAAAACGGATCATAAAATTAAAATTATTTTTTAAAATGATTTTATATATTTTATCCTATTCGTAATATAATACGATAAATAATTAGTTGTTCACCAAAGTAGCATATGTATAGTTTGCAACATTTATGCTATTGTTGGAATCCCACCTCTATTGCATTTAGTTTCATTACCTAACTATTTGGTAAAAAAAAAAAAAAAAAGGAAATCACCGCCTAACTAATTAGTCAGCAAGACTTGTTTTTATTATTATTTTTTTAATGAAATTTTATAGTTTGTCAACTTAGTTATAACACTAGTTAGATACTCACACCACGTCGCGATAAGACAACCGTTATATATACAGTATTCACGATTCGTATGGTATGATACGAGTAGATGTTTTGTTTCTAAAGATTAATGTAAATCGAATCTATATATTAAGCGAACTTGTTTGATTTATATATATTTATTAATAAAATAATTTATAATATTAGTATATAAATTTGTATTTGAAAAATTAAGAAGTTCTTTCAAAACATTAATTAAATTATTTTATTTAAAAATACAGATTTTAGAACATGAAAAAAATAAATAACAAATAATTGGTGTTATGTATGCAGATAGAATTAATTTCTAACAAAACTATATATATATATATAAAGCTCACCTAAATCATATGGAATATATCAAAATAAAAAGATTTAAATAAAAGCTAATATAAAATTGGTTTCGATAAATTTTGATTATATATATATATACATATAAAAAAATAAAACATGTGAATTTTTTAACTAAAAAATTGAGCCGATTTTTTTTAATCGATTACTATATCGTACTTAGAAGACTCGGATTATATAAAATAAATAAATAAAATATATTCAAAAAACCTATGTAAATTGCATGGAATATATCGAAGTGAATAAGCTTAAATAAAAACTACTATAAAATTGGTTTCGATAAATTTTGATCATATATATATATATATAACCAAATAAAACATGGAAATTTTTTAACTAATTATTAATTTTTTTAAAAAAACCAAGCCAAGTTATTTTTAACTGATTATTATTATTTAAAAAAACTAAGTCAAATTATCTAAAACACACTTTTAGCTCTCTCTCTCTCTCTCTCTCAAATTAGAATTTATATATGCAACAACGTAATTTTCATAGAAAAATCATAAAAATAATCAATCATATAAATTATAATAATATATTTTAAAAAATAAAACAATCATATTCTAAAATTTTATTTGAAAAGCCACATATAAAAAAATCAAATTTATTAACAAATAAAATTATATAAACTTAAAAATTAATTCGATGAGAATTTTAATAAGAAACAAACAATTGAAGAAATAAATTTTAAATAATAAAAATAATATAATCAGATATATATGTTCAAACTAAAATTTTAAAAAAATCATATATATTCTATTATCATCAACCGTATGTAAAAAAAATGATTTTTTTTTCATATTTTTGATAAATTGGGATTATATATATATAACCAAATAAAACCCGTGAATTATTTTTACTAATTATTAATGTTTTTTAAAAAACCAAGCCAAATAATTTTTAACTAATTATTATTTTTTTTTAAAAGTAAGTCAAAATATTTAAAACACATTTATCTCTCTCTCTCTCTCTCTCTCTCTCTCTCATTAGAATTTATATATGCAACAATGTCATTTTCATTGAAAAATCATAAAAATGTTCAATTGTATAAATTATAATAATATATTTAAAAAAATAAAACAATCATGTTCTAAAATTTTATTTCAAAATTCATAAATAAAAAAATCAATTTTATTAACAAATAAAATTATATAAAATTTTAAAATTAATTCGATGAGAATTTTAATAAGAAACAAATAATTGAAAAAATAAATTTTGAATAATAAAAATAATATGATTAGACATATATGCTTAAATTAAAATTTTAAAAAATAACATATATATTCTATTGCTATCAAATTGTAAGTAAAATAAAAAAAAAATTATGTTTTTTTTTTAATATTTTCACACCTAATTTCATGATAAAAGGAATAAAAATAAATTATTGATATAGAAGAGGAACACTTGTCATCTAAGAATATATCAAAACTGAAAACCAAAAAAAAAAACAAAAGAAATGCTATGGTGAAGTTCCAACGCCCTTGGGGAAAAAAAAAAAAAAAAAGACATTGCTACAGTGCAGCAGTGCTGCAATGAAGGAAGCAGCTTAGCCCTTAAAAAAAAAAAAAAAAAGCACTGCTACAGTAAATGAATAATGTCACCTCGAGTTTTTTTTAATTAATTATCTAGAAAAGGTCTGGGGTGCCTTTTGTTCCTAATTTAGTTTATATGGCCCTTAATGGCTTATTCTGTAGTTGTTGATAGGATAATAGCAAAACTCAAGACACCATGTAAATTTGTTTTGTCAAAAATATGTTCTAAGAAAATCTTTCATTTTTGAATACAAAACAAATTAATACCCCAAAATGCTTTTTTCAATCAACAATATTAGTTTTAAAAAATGTTTTAATCTCATGAAAGGGGAAAAAAATATATTCCCTATAATAATTATTATTGACTTATAATATTTACAAATTTAATCACTCTAGCTATTATTACTATATTACTGTAACGTCTATAATCTAATACGTTTTATCTAAAAAAATTATGGATGGACAAATCGTTACTAAAACTTTTATCATTTCATTATTTTTAAACATTGTTATTAATTTAATCTCATTTTTTATTAAATATATCAATTAAAATATGTCATCAATAATATAACTATATGATCGTTTCATTAAAATTTAGGATGTTACAGTGCTACAGTAAAAATCATTTTCTTATCACGTATTATCCATTGCAATACCTTACTTTTGTTAATCATACACCTTACCTTTGTTAATCATCATTCGATTAATAGTTCAATCATTGCTTTATCATTATTGTCTTTATCATCAATTTATTATTATCACAATAATTATCACTTACAATAACCAATACGTGTGTGATTGCTTCCCTTATCACCACTATTTTGTTAAATATAGCACCATAGTATTCAGTATTTGTCACCACCACAACTACCATAATAAACATTAACCCAACCTTTCACCTCTACCACCACAATTGCTATCGTTGCCTTGTCATCAATGTAACCACCAAAACAATCCTCTCTTAATTACTATTAACTCAATCACCATTCATCACTGCAATTATCATCATACACAATCATTAATGTTTCTGACATCATTATATTACCATCATTTCACAACCATAGTGAGAAATCATTCATTTTTACGAAAATGTTTTTCCCGATGCATTAAATAATGAAAAATATATTTTCCAAAATAATATTTATTTTAAAGGAATATATGTTTAGTAAAACAAACACACCCTAAGCACCACAACTTAACCTTGAGATCAGACCTTGACAGCAGTGAACGCGATTTGTCCGCCTCCTTTTAAGACGTTGAAGCGGTGTATTTAAAAGAAACCAAAACACGAGACTGGAACTCCATGCACTACAAATTCACCATAAATATCAGACTTAGACGCGATGGGTCCAGTTTTCTCTGCGGACGAACAAGGCGTTTGCCACACAATTAATTATATATTCTATTGAAAAAAAAAATCAAAGTTGGTGTACTAGTAATATAATTGTTCCATTAACAATTGGTTGGTTTTCTAGGTAGTTGAGGATTTGTATCGGACTCCATATCCTTGTACTAAATGATAGCGACCCACAATTAATTATAAAGATTGCAAGCATTTATCGTGTCTAATATGACAATAAGTCACAACTAAAGACGGCTATCCTATCCATGATTATACGTTAGTGATGATTGATCCAAGATGGGAAGACAACAAAGAAATCGGGATGACTACTTTAAGCACGTTCCTGTATAAGTTACACAATATGCATGTGTTTTAGTCTTGAATTAGTATTTTCAAGTTAAAAGTACTCATAAATGTCTAATCAAGAAAGTGAGAATTTTCAATACAGTCAACGTCTAAAAGACACTTTCTTATATAAAAACATACTTCTAGAAACCATTCCTTAAAGAAATGAAAAAATAAAAAAGATAAATAACTTAATATGTCCTTGTGTAATTAACAGCTTCAATGCGTCAATCTGTTTTTACTTTTTTGATTATATTTGTTAATACTATTAAAGTTTTTAATTTGTTAGTTTAATTAATTTTTCGATCATAAATAATTTTTTTATCGAAAAGTTTTTGATTAAAAAACAATTCTCAAGGTTTTAGAAATGAAACATACAAGTTTCGTGACTTGCGTTGTTTTTTTTTTTTGTTGAATTTCAATTAGGAACATTTTGATAAAAAATAAAAATAAAAAAACAATTTAAAAACTTAAATTTTATTTAAAAATATAATAAATATAATTAAAAATATATAAACTGGTTGAGCTATTTATGTAATTAAATAGAAAAATTATTACTTTACTAATTTTTTGGGCTTGGGCTAGATCATATCAGTTAATTTAACTAATTAATATTTTTATAAGTGTCACGTAAGAAAAAACTGGCCTTTTTTTGGCCCTAGCCTAGAATAATCTATAACCGATTAATTTTCTTCTGGTTACAGTTAATAAGTGATTAATTAAGAATATTATTAACATTTTTTTTTTTTTGGGATGAATGATTTTTGTAACAACATTAGTACAATATTGATGTACTAATAATAAATCGAAGCATAGTTTCTACTTTTGGTTACCAAATTCTGTGCAAGTAAGAGCGGAAGACACCTTCTTATACAACTCTCGACAGTGATTAGGTATACCAGCAAACCATCCGCTGTACGCAATATTGACCAGCCAATAGAAAGTCGACACATTTTATTAAATTGAATGACAATGGCTAAATCATAATTAATGGCTTTACTTTCGTAATATATTTTTCATATATAAATGAAGGGTTCAGTACTCCTAAAATCAATACAAATGAATGAAGATTTAACAATCATTATTAGCAATGAAAAGTTTTGGATATATCTCTCGCTATAAATAGCATACCAATTTTCTGCTCGTCCTCGTGCTACAAAAGATGGCAATGTCCCAGATTACTAGCGATGAGTTCGTCCCTACAGTACAAATTGAAGGTGTGCAAACAGTGTTACCCACGTTGGCGACTGATCCAAGAGAGATATGCCTAGTGTCAGTGAAGGACCCTATGGGCTCAGATGTTTTCCGGGGGTGCCTTAACGTAGTCCTTTACTACAATAAGGCCGTGGAGGAAGATTCTGGCTGGGTAGTTGCCGGATGGATTAAGGAGTCCCTGGGGAGGGCATTGACTGACCAGCCGATGCTTAGTGGACGACTACGGAGAGGTATAGATGGTAATGGAGAACTAGAGATGGTATCAAATGATAGTGGAGTTAGACTTGTCGAGGCAAAGATTACAATGACTTTGCAAGAGTTTCTTGGTTTGGAAGAAAGGGAAAAACTAGAAGGTGATCGATTAGTCTTTTGGAAGCATATTGATGAACAAAATCCCCAATTCTCTCCGCTACTCTATGTTCAGGTAAGTTGAATAGTAATTTGTAATTAACTACCTTAATTAAAGATGCTGATGTCCGAGGATATACACAGCATCTTCATGTAAATATAAGTGATCAGTACTTACTAGGAAAAATAGTACTATTTTAAAGTGTTTTTTCCTTTTACAGGTAACCAACTTCCAGTGTGGTGGTTACTCAATTGGGATTAGCTCTAGCCTTATTTTGGTAGACCTTTTAATCGTGGAAAACTTCCTCATGAGGTGGGCAAGTATTCAAAAGAATTTACTCTCCAAATATGATGCCCTCAAAATGCCCATATTCTACCTCCCCAATCTCAAAAACACTAGCTTGTCTCCTTATAACGCCATTATCCCCACTCCTAGCAAACACAGTGGCCAAACAATGATATTCAAGATCGCAGGCGACAGCGAAATTGGGGGTGTGAAGAACGATTTATGCAAGAAGGCTGCATCACATTGTATTGCGGAGGCAGAGCACAAACTGGGTGGTGAAATATCATCAGGGTTTTCTTTGTTTGTGAAAGAATCTCCTAAGGTTTTAAGGGTCCAAAATTGCCAGAAAAATGAGCTTGTTAAGTCTCATCAGAACCTGATCAGTACTCAAGTCACCTCTTCAAGTTTGGATGATATGGGGATCAAGGAATTAGCTTTCCACGATGGCAATAAACCTGCTCATGTTTCTTCTTGGATTGGATCGGTGGTTGACGGACTTGTAATGGCAATTCCATCTCCTAATGAGAATGCTTCTTCTGAGGTCAGCCTTATAGTTACAATCCCTGAAAAGAGTTTCAAGTAAGGTTTGGTTTAGCCCAATGTGTGTACGTATAAAAAATTATGTAACTGAACAGCCAACTTAGGCTCTTTGGAGTCAGACTGGAAATGAAGTGTTCATTTGTAATGACACTGCATGTATATTGTGTGAAAGTTAATCTCTATTTTCAGATTGATATGAATTATATATGTTTGTATAATTTAATCTGTGGTTTGCTATTGAAGAGAAGGTGTTTGGAGTTGAAAGTCTTTGAATTTATATGGTCTCGTGGAGAAGGTCTTTATCTTAGGAGATCTATTACTGCCCTCTTATTGGTTGCTCACGTTTCTGAAGATCGATTTATTACTGCAATTATTATTGCTGTAACTCTTTATGCTTTTTATTCTTGCAAATCCAAATAGCTCATGAATGTCGGTTTTATTTGCTTATTCTTTTTCGAGATAATTTTTTTACTTGTTTTTGTTTTACTTTATTAACTTCAATAAATTTCTTACCATTAATTTTTTTTTTAAATATGATCTTATTTTTATTCTGATCCATTGAGTATTTTTATAATATATAAAAATAATATTGAAATTATTGATTTTATTTAAAATTAATATTACATCTATACATTTAATTAAAAACAACCATTAATAAATATATTAACAACAACCATTAACGATTAATTTTTTAAAATAAAATAACTAAAATAATATTAAGAATAACCACCAAAAAATTAAATACATCTTTTTATACTGTTATTATTAATTTTTAAATAAATATATATAAATCAAATGAATTTTCAAATATATTTTTAAAATAATTAATTAATAAAATTTATGTTTTGTATTTGTTTATTCTTGATATAATCAAATTTTATAGAAATAAAGTTTTTAGATAGGGTCTGGGGAGCCTTTGTTTCCTAATTCAGTTTATATGCCCCTTAGTGGTTCATCCTGCAGTGGTTGATAGGATAGGATAATAGCAAAACTCAAGGCACCATGTATATTTGGTTTGTCAAAAATATTTTTTAAGAAAATCTTTCATTTTTCAATACAAAACAAATTAATACCCAAAAATACTTTTTCCAGTCAACAATATTAGTTTTAAAAACTGTTTTAACCTCATGAAAGGGAAAAAAAGATATATTTCCTATAATTATTGACTCATAATATTCACAAATTTAATCATTTTAATTACTATTATTATAATGTCCATCTCTCGATACACTTTACTTCAAAGGTTATGGATAAACGAATGGATACTAAGACTTATATCATTTCATTAATTTGTAAGCATTATTCTTAATTTAATATCATTCATCGTTAAACATATCAATTAAAATATGTGATCAATAATATAACCACAAGATTATTTCATCGAAATTTAGCCAAAGTAACAACTATTTTATTATCACACATTATCCGTCACAACACCTTACTTCCGTTAATCATACACCTTTCGTTCAATCCTTACTTTATTATTATTGTCACTATCATGGCTCTATTATTATCATAATAATCAGCACTTACAGTAACTAATACATATGTGATTGCTTTCGGTATCACTGCTATTTTGTTAAATATAATCACCATTGTATTCACTATTTGTCACCACCACAGCACAAACATTACTCCCACCTTTCACCTTTTCCGCCACAATTGCTATCGTTGCCTTGTCATCAATGTAACCACCAAAACAATCCTCTCTTAATTACCATTAACCATTCATCACTGCAACCATCATCATACACAACGATTAATATTTCTCGCATCATTATATTACCATCATTTCACAACCATAGTGATAAATAATTCATTTTTACGAAAATGTTTTTCCTAACGCATTAAATAATGAAAAATATATAATTTAATTTTAAGAAAATATATATTTTCCAAAATAATATTTATTTTAAAGTAATATATTTTTAGTAAAACAAACACACCCTAAGCACCACAACTCAACCTTAAGATCAGACCTTGGCAGCAGTGAACGCGAATTACGCGATGTGTCCACCTCCTTTTAAGACGTTGAAACGGTGTGTTTAAAAGAAACCAAAACACGAGACTGGAACTCCATGCACTACAAATTCACCATAAATATCAGACTTTGACGCGATGGGTCCAGTTTTCTCTGTGGACGAAGAAGGCGTTTGGACAAAGATTCTTACTTGAAAGAAAATACAAGACACTTGGATATTTTATTTTGTGTACGTGTGGAACGAATGCTATCGCAAACCCGAATCAATTTTTAATATTATATTAATGCCACTAAGCATGAAATTATTTTTTTAATCAAACCAGAAAATTAATTAATCATTCTCACTAGGAAAGTACTGCATTTTCATTATCCAGACAGACAAACAAATAAATATTAATGACCAAACCAAACAGTATTGCTAATTAGCCAAATAATTTTAAATGATGCGAGTATAGCTTTTATATATATATATATATATATATAATCGTGAAGCGAATATAGCTAGGTCCATGGAATTTCGATCGATAATCATCTACGAGCGGACACAGTTAGAAAGTCTTGCATAAACTTCATTCGTTGTTTTATTCAATATATAGTGTGGGTTACGTAGGTAGACCGTGGAAAATAATTGGGTAGCTTTCACAGTTATTGCATGGGGATGGAATGGGTGGAAACAATTAATATCCTGCACGTCTGGTTTAAATATACAACTACTAATTAATAATTCCAAAGACTATATTATAAATTCAAACGAAAAAAATAATTAATATATTCTATCAAAAAAAATTCAAAGTTGGTGTACTAATAATATAATTGTTACATTAACAACTGGTTGGTTTTCTAGGTAGTTGAGGATTAGCATCTGACTCCATATCCTTGTACTAAATGATAGCGACCCACTATTATATTAAAGATTGCAAGCATTTATCGTGTCTAATATGATAATTAATCACAACTAAAGACGGGTATCCTATCCATGATTATACGTTAGTGATGATCGATCCAAGATGGGAAGACAATAAAGAAATTGGGATGACTACTTTAAGCACGTTCCTGTATAAGTTAACACAATATGCATGTGTTTTAGTCCTTGAATTAGTTTTTTCAAATTAAAAGTACTCATAAATGTCTAATTAAGAAAGTGGGAATTTTCAAGGCAGTCAATGTCTAAAATACACTTTCTTATATAAGCACATGCTTCTAGAAACCATTCCTTAAAGAAATGAATAACTTAATATGTCCTTATCTAATTAATAGCTTCAATCTTCAATCTGTTTTACTTTTTTAATTATATTTTTTTAATAATATTTAATTTTTTAATTTGTTAGTTCAATCAATTTTTTTGATTATAAATAATTTTTTAATCAAAATATTCTTGGTTAAAAAAAAATCTCAAGATTTTAGAAATGAATACACAGGTTATGGGACTTATTTTTTTTTAAAAAAAAATTTCAATTAGAAACATTTTGATAAAAAAATATCAAAAGAACAATCTGAAAACTTAAACTTTATTCAAGAATATAATAAATATAATTAGAAATATGAAAATTGATTGAGTTATTTTTTGTAATTAAATAGAAAAATTATTACTTTACTAAATCGTTGGAGCTTGGACTAGATCATACCAGGTAATTTAACTAATTAATATTTTTATTAGTGTCACGTAAGAAAAAACTGGCCTTTTTTTGCCCCTACACTAGAATAATTTATAACCGATTAATTTTCTTCTAGTTACAGTTAATAAGTGATTAATTAAGAATATCATTAACATTTCTTTTGGGAGGAATGATATTTGTTAAAAAAGTAGTACAATATTGATGTACTAGTAATAAATCGAAGCATAGTTTCTACTTTTGGTTACCAAATTCTGTGCAAGTAAGAGCGGAAGACACCTTCGTATACAACTCTCGACATTGGTTAGGTATACCAGCAAACCAATCCGCTGTACGCAATGTTGACCAGGCAATAGAAAGTTGACACATTTTATTAAATTGAATGACAATGGCTAAATCATAATTAACGGCTTTACTTTCTTAATATATTTTTCATATATGCATGAAGGGCTCAGTACTCCTCAAATCAGCACACATGAATTAAGATTTAACAATCTTTTTTAGCAATACAAAGTTTTGGATATATCTCTAGCTATAAATAGCATACCAATTTTCTGCCAAAACAGAGAGACTACATAGAGACTCGTGTTAAGATTCATGTTAATTCAAATCGATTATATTTCAGTAATTAGATCATTCTTTAATATATCAATTATGTCGAGACTTAAACTAGAACCGATGTTGAATTGATGAGACGTACGACAAAAGAATCCGACGATCGATTCAATATGATATCATAAATAAAATTAAAAATTTAATTTGGTTTAGAAAATAAAACTTGAAAGTGGATTCAAAAATAATTTGGCAAAAATAAAATTTTTTTAGGAGGTAAATTTTTAGGATTAAACTAGACATGGTACATTTTCTCGAAAATGATGTTTTTGTGTGATTGATCAATTTTTTATCCTAAAATATCTTAACTAGTGTCATTTTTAGGTTTTTTTGGTTTCTTTAATACTAGGTAGTGGCTCCAAAATCAATAATAACTCACATCCCAAGTAAATAATAAAAAAACACAAATAAATAAATAATTTTTAATTAGAGTTTTTGGAAGTCCTTAAATTTGTAATAACGACGAATGACAACTCCGAGTAAGATTTAGAGTTAGACCATAAGTTTAGTTTTTTTAATTTATCTCTCTTATTTATTTTTTACCATTTATTTTCCAAGTCATTTGTTTATTTTAATTCTTGTATGTTGTTCTAACCTTTTAATCGTTGCAATTTATTTTCTTTTAATTTGTGTATGTAATTTGTGAACTAAGTTGAAAGTGTTACTTTGAATTGTTACACACAGCATGAACGAAGCCTACAAAAGCTTTAGACCCAAGCTAAAATCCTATTAGGATTTAGATATAGAGATTCGAAGTAAGTATGATGAAAGTCTGCCGATGCTTATTCGGACTCTCATTTGGATCGAAACTCACCCTATGTATTAGAAATTATGGAA